AAAGATTATCTGTGGAATATTACTGCCCCAGCATTTGCCTAAGTGATCCAAGGAAACCACAGAAAAACTTGGACCAAGGCAGACGGACCCGGAATCGAACCGGCGTCCTCCCGAATGCTAACCAATGGTCTACAGCTCTATGTCATGCCGCTCGGTGAGGATAACATACCCAATTGTACAAATTTTAAAATTTTAAATCGAGGTAGTTTCTGAAAACTTCTAGTGTTCTGTCACCGTAAGACATACCATGTGTATGTAATTACAATACTACAATTCATCATCATCATCATAAGGTCGTCAGTCTTAAGACTATTTGGACACGCATCTCCACTCTTTCCTATCCTGAGCCAATCATCGCATTTCCCCAAAACTAGAACAAGCCACATCCTTAACAATTTGCGAACAGTAATTTAATCTGAGTCAACCTCCAATCCTCTGAACTCCTAGTTCTGGCTCTAATATGTCTCTGACTAAACCTTCATGCCTGAGATAGTGTCCTACCAAGCTATCTCGCCTATTTCTTATTGACTTCTATAAAGTCCTGTGTTCTCCTATTTTTTTAAATACCTCTTCATTTCTAAACTTCTCTAACTACGATATCCTCATCATTCACCTGTAACACTACATTTCGAATGCTTCTAACCGCAAAGCTCCTCGCTCCAAACATACACCTTTAACAATCTTTTTATTGAAGGCGACTCAATCCTGCGTTAGATTTCGCTTTAGATCCCTATTACTCCTTCCAACCTGTCTTATCTGACTTACTAGATACTAATTCCATCCTTCTAGGTACAATTCTAGTTAAGATTTTTGACGCATAGGAAGTTAAGCTAATTAATTAAACATACGATCTGTAATAAAATAATTCGAAGTGGTCTGTATTCTGTCGCAACTGCCAGACGCGGATCGCGATTTCGATCTTTTTGGATCTCATCAGCGCGTCGCAGGCAGCTCCGACAGAACACAGACCAACTTTTACCTGCCGCCTTAACAGCGTGTTTTGGAAAATACGACAAATGGCGCTGTAAACGCCATCTGTAGTACAGTGCTACATTTTAGGATTTCGTATGCTTCAACAAGGTCCATTTAAATGTATGGATATTTACATGCTGAAACGAATCCCGGCGTAGCTCACCTCAACGAGGTAGGCACGTTACCATAATCGAATAAAATAATTCGAAGTGGTCTGTATTCTGCCGAAACTGTTAGACGCGGATCATCTGTACTACAGATAGCGTTTACAGCGCCATTTGTCGTAACTTCTAATACGATCTGTAACCTATTGTCCTTCATTTTCGCCTGTATCCCATCTATAACCGGCGCCTTATTATTCTTTATGTTGTTTAATGCTACATCGAGCTCTTCTCTCAGTATGGGATAACCTAACTCATCTATCTCCACACTATCTTCCTTCTCTAATATATCTCCTAACTCATGGCCTGCTTATAGGTTCTTTAAATATTCTTTCCACCTATCTGCCTTTTCCTAATTTTCTATCAAAATGAACCCTGCCTTGTTTCTTATATTATTACGACTGTACTCTACATCTCTAAAATTCCTTTGAATTATACTATGCGCCTCATCGGTCTTCTACCTCTTTACACATCCTATCAATCCACTGTTCCTTGGCTGCCCTACATTTCCTAATTATTTCCAACTTTATAGCCTTATACAATTTTTACCCACGAATTACTTTCTAGCGATCCTATATGTATTATTCTACAATATTCACTCTAGAAGTCTCCAGCTTCTGGCCAACGAACTTCACTAATGCCTACTTTACCTAATTCTGGTCTATTCATCTCAACTATCAAATTTTCCAATTTCCCTACTTGCCTCATTCCACGCTTCGACTCGTGAAATATTGCACTTATTGATGACATCTCACGAGGTAGTCCCCGCCCGGACATCCGAATGGGGGACTAGTTTACGTCCGGAGGACGCCATTATTTAATTTGTATAGTTGTACGTTTTACTCGGGATCAAAATGTGATGATTTCCCGTTGCCTTCCACATCGCGTTATTGTGCATCAGAGTGCCATACCGATCCTCGTGATCTCTACCACCCTTAGTGCTGAAAGAGCTGGTGCCCCATTTCTGTAACTTGTCTTAGTCTTGTTTCTCTTTAAGAACCCCCCCCCCCGTATGGTTGAACCTGTGTTTCGGCTACCTGAGTCATCGAAACTCGTAACCCGATCCACCCACTATCTCCCGTCAAGTCCCGTCGGATCCAATTACAATTAAAGAATTATTTTTTTTATTGTTTTCAGATTTTTCCTTTTACTTGTTATAAACGAATTTATTTCTTGTTAAAGTAAATAAGTATCCTACAGATTGACTTTAATTTTAATTAATTAATTAATTTTTCTACAGCTCCAAGGGATTGCAAACCTGAACATTTTATATTAATTTCAAGTTGATACCTGCATGTGTTCCTAAGAATGAGGGAGAAAGACACAAACAGACAGCCGGACAACGAAGTAATCTTAAAAGGTTTTCTTTTTCCTTTTTTGAGGAACGAGACCCTAAAAAATGCCATATCGGACGGAGTCTGGAAAGCATTCATACTTGAATTCGCAATTGACCACAAAAAGTGTACATGTAGTAATTGTGCGCTCTCATTCTAGAGTAATTAAAAACAATAACAGAATTATAAGGGATTCTTTTAATTATCACTGTGGAACGTGCTGCATTTTATACATTTTGCGGAAATATAGAAGGAAATTTCGACAGACGTTTCTGTTGACATGAACCAGAATACCTGAATGCCGTGCTGTTTTGCATTAATTCGCGACAATCTGTTTAAGAAAACATCTCCAACTGAATGCTTTGAATCACGCGGCTTCCTGGCGAGACAACAGACGCATTAATCTCCTAAGACATTTTAACGAAGGCTTCCTAGAGTTACGCTACACTAATTGGAAATAGAGGCACAACAATTAATTAGTGTCTTTAGAAACAATTAGCGACAGTCTCAGACTTCACCCTGTAATTTTATAGTCTGCGCAATGTTCTATAATCTACGCGAAAAAGTAACGATCATGACAAAATTTTTTAATTATGTATGTAAGAGTAAGTTTCTTCAAATGCTTGATTTTGGTGGAAAAAGTTAAAATATGGTAAATAACCAAAGTTCTCAGATTTACTTAAGTTCGAATGAGAGAGCGTACATTGCCAATTTCTCACGCTTACCTAAGAGAGTTGAAATGAAAACATATACATTCGAACAGACCATAGGAACCCAAAAATGGATGAGTAGTTTTTTCGAACTACTTCCTATTCGATTGGGTCGCAGTCAAAACACCCTCTAGTAAATAGTTACGAAACGCTATGTATGTGAACTGTTGTAGTTTTGATGATCATGAAATTATTTAGGGGTTTTTAATTGAATAAATTTAGAGACACTATAGTACAGTTTCAGGGAAAAGCTTAAGCTATTAGAGCTAAGTGTGCTAATTATTATAGAATGATTGTTAGTTTTACTGTCTCTCAAGTAATAAGTAGTGTTGGCAAAATATTGTTAATGAATGTTAATATTGTCCCTGTGCAAATAACTTTATTGTTGGAGCATACGTAATCCTCAAATGTAGCATCGTACTACAGATGGCGCTCACCACGCCATTTGTGGTATTTTAGAAAACGCGCTGTTAAGACAGCAGGTAAAGGTTGGTCTGTGTTCTGTCGGAGCTGCCTGCGCCGCGCTGATGAGATCCAAAAAGATCGAAATCGCGATCCGCGTCTGGCAGTTTCGACAGAATACAGACCACTTCAATTATTTTGTTCGAACTTTATTATAGTTTAGGGCTTAAATCTATTTCCTTGTATTTCATATGTTGATATTTTCCAAATTTTATTCTCTTACTGGTTCCCTACATTAATCTAAAAATTTCCGGGACTTCCAGCCCTCTCACCCCATTATAATGCTACTAGTAACTTCTTTTCGAAAATACTAACACAGTTATAGGGTCTATTTATTTTGTATAGTGTTTGTCAAGTGTTGTATGTTTTAAGTTAAAAGTACAATTTTGAAACCAAAAGGAAATCCTATTTGGAATTATTTTGTTAATATTGCAAAAAACTGTCAAATGCAAAATCTGTAGCAAAATATTCGCAAAAACGGGGCACCATCATATTATTAAAGAGTCACCTGAAATCATTACACTTCTACTTCCGCATCCGCTTCCGCTTCCATTTCCGCCCAGTCTTACACCTTCCATCTCAACCGCCACCCTCTGTATGACCGTTCCATCTTCTAGATAGGCATTTACTATTTTCGCTTGTAACACCTTAAATCCCCATTTCCAATTCACCACCACCACCACTATTACCACTTTTTCTCAGTGGTGATGAAGTTCTTGGATCTCCTCTACATCCTACATCCCTACCATTCCCGCCCGAGTAACAGTCCCATTATCTAAGCAATTTTTAAATAATTACCAAAAAATACCTACATAAGATTAATTTTTGTAAATAAATATGACAATCATTACTGTCATACAAATTTGTATCCCTATTAACAAGGTTTTTTATAATTTTATCTTCAGTAAAATGTTATCAGTAGTTTCGAAATTAGCAGGTAAGAACAGAAGAAATAAAACTTCTCCAATTTCGAAAAATATTTTGTCGAGTTCCTTTCGTGACTAAATCCTAAATGTAAATAGAAGTATAACTTTAAACGAATAGAAATCTCTTCTTTTTTCAAAAGCCATTTTAGTTATTCAGCTTTTGATTTTCACTATAATTATTACAACCTTTAACTTGAAAGTGCTCTCGACCATGTTTTTAACTCTTTCAACAAAAGGTGTCTTGTTCCTGTTTTATTTCCTTCCCTCATTTTCTCAAAGTCTGCAATCTGAGGCTTTACAGCACACTCGTTTGTTTTAATTTTTACCGCGGCCTGGGAAAGTGCTTTTTAACTATTTCCATTAGCTCACATTATTTCTTATTTTGCAATTATGCACTTAACGATAATGTGTATATTTAAGTGAGTTTAATTACAGCCTTTGCATCTACTACATCCAAAGAAGCGGAAGTTCAATGTGCAGAAAACGGAAGATTTTATCGGAAAGAGGAAGTTGGCGATGATGCATTCGAATGCTCCAAATATTTCCTGTGTTTGGACGGGGAGGAATTTGAGTTCCGGTGCTCGCAAGGATTGCTGTTCGACATTCATCGCCAAACGTGTGAACCAGAAAAACAAGTTAATAACTGTAACGTCACAGTTAAAGGTAGGTTTGAAAGAGACAATTTTTAAACATACGAAAACCATAAAATTTTACCAAACCTTTTCTAATCAATATAAAAGCACCCCTGCTGTAACTCTATGCTTTAAAAGTACATTAAACCCAGTCAAAAACAGTTACTTTAAATAAGATTGGTTACTTCAAAACGAAATAAAATACAGTTTATTTACACACTTTGTCAACAATAGAAGAACCTTTCCATAGTAAAGTTAATTACTTAAATAAAACTAACCAGGTCTCAATTAAATTATATGTCATTATGTCATCATCATAAAGTCATCAATCCTAAGACTGGTTGGACACGCTGCTCCATTCTTTCGTATCCTGAGCTAATCTTCGCATTTCCCCAAAACTAGAACATCCGACATCTTTAACTTTTTTTTAATTTGCGAACAGTAATCTAATCTTGGTTTACGTCTACTCCTCTTTATCTCCTGTTTCTGCCTCTAATATGTCTCTGACTAGCCCTTCATGCCTGAGAAGGTGTCCTACCAACCTATCTCGCCTATTTCTTATTGAGAATCCATAGAGTCCACCGTTCTCCTATTATTTCTAATACCTCTTCATTTCTAAATTTCTAACCTTCTCTATCAACGGTATCCTCGTCATTCGCCTGTAACACCATATTATCGAAAAACTGATTCTGGGGATGCGCTTCTTTATATCCTTTTTTATTTTTATATTTTATATAACACGATATAGGATTGAACCAGCCACATAAACGCTGGTTTGTATGGCACAAAATTGGAACTGAAGTTAGGACTCTTTCAAGCTTATTTACATGATACACATTGAAAGACATCATCATCATAAGGTCGTCAGTTCTAAGACTGGTTGAACACGCACCTCCACTCTTTCCTATCCTAAGCTAATCTTCGCATTTCCCTAAAACTAGAACATCCCACATTATTAACTATTTGTAAACAGTAATCTAATCTAAGTCTACCTCTTCTCCTTCTAACTCCTGTTTCTGCCTCTAATATGTCTCTGACTAGACCTTTAAGCCTGAGAAGATGTCCTACCAACTTATCTCGCCTATTTTTTATTGAGAATCCATAGAGTCCTCTGTTCTCCTATTATTTCTAATACCTCTTCATTTCTAAATTTCTAACCTTCTCTATCAACGGTATCCTCGTCATTCGCCTGTAACACCATATTATCGAAAAACTGATTCTGGGGATGCGCTTCTTTATATCCTTTTTTATTTTTATATTTTATATAACACGATATAGGATTGAACCAGCCACATAAACGCTGGTTTGTATGGCACAAAATTGGAACTGAAGTTAGGACTCTTTCAAGCTTATTTACATGATACACATTGAAAGACATCATCATCATAAGGTCGTCAGTTCTAAGACTGGTTGAACACGCACCTCCACTCTTTCCTATCCTAAGCTAATCTTCGCATTTCCCTAAAACTAGAACATCCCACATTATTAACTATTTGTAAACAGTAATCTAATCTAAGTCTACCTCTTCTCCTTCTAACTCCTGTTTCTGCCTCTAATATGTCTCTGACTAGACCTTTAAGCCTGAGAAGATGTCCTACCAACTTATCTCGCCTATTTTTTATTGAGAATCCATAGAGTCCTCTGTTCTCCTATTATTTCTAATACCTCTTCATTTCTAAATTTCTAACCTTCTCTATCAACGGTATCCTCGTCATTCGCCTGTAACACCATATTATCGAAAAACTGATTCTGGGGATGCGCTTCTTTATATCCTTTTTTATTTTTATATTTTATATAACACGATATAGGATTGAACCAGCCACATAAACGCTGGTTTGTATGGCACAAAATTGGAACTGAAGTTAGGACTCTTTCAAGCTTATTTACATGATACACATTGAAAGACATCATCATCATAAGGTCGTCAGTTCTAAGACTGGTTGAACACGCACCTCCACTCTTTCCTATCCTAAGCTAATCTTCGCATTTCCCTAAAACTAGAACATCCCACATTATTAACTATTTGTAAACAGTAATCTAATCTAAGTCTACCTCTTCTCCTTCTAACTCCTGTTTCTGCCTCTAATATGTCTCTGACTAGACCTTTAAGCCTGAGAAGATGTCCTACCAACTTATCTCGCCTATTTTTTATTGAGAATCCATAGAGTCCTCTGTTCTCCTATTATTTCTAATACCTCTTCATTTCTAAATTTCTAACCTTTATCCACGGTATCCTTATCATTCGTCTATAACACCACAATTCGAATGCTTCTAACCTTTTCTTTTCAGCCACGCCCACCGTCCATGTTTCGCATTCGTTCAATGTCACGCTCCAAGCACATCTTTAACAATCCTTTTCAAATTTCTAAATTAACCGTTAGCAGGCATAGAAGTGCGTTTTTTTTTATTGAAGGCGACTCGATCCTACGTTATCCTTTGCTTTATATCTCTACTACTTCTTCCGTCCTGACCCATCTGACATCCAAGATACTGATAATCCGCCACTTCTTCTAATTTTTCGTCTCCTATCTTTATATTCACTCTTTCCGTAATTTTTCTTGATTTACATACCAGTATTTTTATTTTACGGTAATATCGTCTTCTTTAAATTTACTCGTGTTACTATGAGTACTGCTACAGTCATAAACCTGATATGCTGATCAGGAAAGTAAGGATCTATTTCAATCCGTAGCTCGCTTTCGTAACATGTAATCGCTTGCAGCATTTTACTGATTAGAAATTCGAGGCTCTGGCATCGCATAAGAACTTTTACTTCAGAAGTATACTGGGAATAAAATTATTTTACTTGGGAAGAATCTCTGAAAAAATACATACGTATATACACACTCCAAACTTTGAGAAAGGTGAAGAAGTGTGAAGCAAATGCTTGTACAAGTTCTTTATTAATGACACAATAAAAGCATGGTCCTTCCTTTCATTAACGGCGTTCCTTTTTCCTTTTGAAATCCACTGGTAACTTCCATTAACAAGTCTTCCGTTTTATAATTTGCTGTGATTTTATCCAGCACACTTACAAAAGACGCACTTGTTTAAAATTTCAGCAGAATTCCATTTTTCATCGTCAGAGGTGCCACGGAAAGTATTAGAATTATCAGCAACAAAAATAAATTATCGTGCACAAGTACCACGCACCGCTTCAGAACCTTTTGAAAATTGTAAAAACGACGAGATAGAATGCGACAGTGGCGAATGTGTGTTAATTGACTACGTGTGTGATGGATATCCGGACTGTGCTGATGGTGATGATGAAGAGTCGTGTGATCCTGAAAATAATCCTAACCTTGCAACACCATGCGATACAACTATGTGCCGACTACCGGATTGTTATTGTTCAAAAGATGGTGAGTTTTCGTGAATTTGATAATTAAAACAAACTTCATTAATCCTGCACCAACGAAAGTTTAAATTATACTTCAAAAGTATTTTATTATTTACATTTACTCTACCCCTTTCGATTTTATACGGTTGATGAGCCATATTTTTAAAATATTCCTTTGTAAAAGTAGAAGTTCACTGTGGCCACGTACTTTACACACTTCTATTACGGTCATTATCAACGCAAGACTGATTCTAACATATTAAAATTTGACAATTTATACACTTTGAATTATCAAAATGGGTGTTGTTAATAATTATTTATACCGAATCTAAAAATTTAAAAGATGATGGGGGGTGAAGGTGTTATAGAAAAAAAAATGTAGACATAGGAAGGGTTAGAAGAAAAACCTATATATGCAAAAACCACTTTAACTAATATTGTAATTTGGTTTAATGTCGTGAGTGAATTAATTTACATAACCTCAAATTAATGAGGAAAAATTGTTACTGCTGTCACTCTCTTGCTGATAACACAGGCCAACAAAAAAATGTTTGTAAAAACTTTTTAAACTAATTTACCTAAATCTTATGTATTGTTTAGTGCTGAAATCGTGTTCGATATCAGTTTTTTTTTATCACCCACAATTTTCTCACAATATGACATTGTGTATTGTATAATTGTATATTTCAAAATCATCGGGAATTTTGTGTTTTTTCAAAAACTACACAGGCCAATAAAAAAATGTTTGTAAAAACTTTTTAAATTAATTTACCTAAATCTTATGTATTTTTTAGTGCTGAAATCGTATTCGATATCAGTTTTTTTTTATCACCCACAATTTTCTCACAATATGACATTGTGTATTGTATAATTGTATATTTCAAAAAATGGGGAAAAATTTGATAATTAAAAATTAAAAAATTTAGTTCTTAATAAAGTTAAAATTTTCTCTTACAAATAATAGATTACTAAATATTAGATACATGTTTTTTTGTGTTT